TAAGTAGAAAAGGATTTTTTTAACTGAGAAATTTTTAAAAAACTTGTAAAGAAATTGTTTAAAATATTATTATACGAAATTCGGCAATAATTTTGCTAATTAACGAATGCTGAACATTAACATTTTAAAAATTTTTATTATAAACGGGACCAGTGCAATGACTGGTAAATAAAAACCGTTTTTGAACTATTAACAACTCATCATAGGTTAAGTTCTTAAGTTTAAACCCATAACTAATTATCATTTCAACGTTGAATTAATTATACATTTATTTTTATTTAAAATTTATATATTTTTCAGAAAAAATATGATAAGTTTCAATTCGGAAAACTCAATTCCAAATACTTCCAATGAGTTTCAAAATATTGATGAAGATTTTTGGCGGTCAAATAACGTGGGGGAGGGCTAACGTCACACACGTCTACACGTCATGTTGTTGTACTTTTATGCACGTAATCGTGCATACATACAAAAATAATACTTAGTGCATTAATTGCTATAAACGTACCTACGCGTAACTCCCCACGACAACATTTCATGACAAGCATTTTGCGGGCGAGATGAAAGACTAAGCAATGATTTCCATCAACAAAATGTCGTTATACATATAAACATCATATTATTATCTAGTACGTAGAGTTGAACGTCGCTTTACATCTCATTCGCGATAACCTTTGTTCGTTACATGTACAGCTGTCGACCAACTCGCTGCTCGCAAAGTCGCAACTGAAGTCTTTGCCTTTCATAGTAAAAAAAAAAAAAGTATAAATCAGAAATCCTATAACGGGAAAGCTGTTTGCCTTGTATAGTCGACAATACCTTTTTTTTTCTTTATTTTAGCTATCTCGTCGCATTGTCGTCGCGACTGCAGTACCTATGCGCTCTATACTGTTTGATTGTGTTATGCCACTCTACAATATTATACTTAAATTCTAGACAATATATTCTCGTAGATAACACAAAAGTTCTTTTAATGACGAACAAACATTATTATCAATAAAGAACATATACCTAATTATTAAAAATTATCAAATATATCAACGTCATCCATCGTTATCGTCTCGTTATTCGTTATTCTTTATCATTAATTAATATAAAAAATATGAAAATAATTAAAAAGAAAAAATATATTGCACTTACCTATATACCTAAAATATTATGAAAATAAATATTAAAATACTTGTGCCATATTCCTCGGAAATGCGTTAGGTATATACTTATATATATCACTTCAAATCATACCTCTTCACCCCTTTTCAATTAGATACCTACCTGTATAGTTAATATATTTATAAATACATATACAATTATAATATTATATTAAGCCATTTTCCATATAGGTAGTTCTGTGCTCTAATTTCTAAAGGATCATATTTTCGTCGTTGTCAACGTTAAGTTTTTTGACAGGTATATTGTAAGCCAATGACACCTTTTATTATTTTCTCTCGATCCTTTTAATAAATATTCGTCAACTTAAATCACTTTTCTGGATTCTTCAACAAATTTAGCACGAATTTTAAATATTCTGACAGTTACACCTCAACATAAGTTCATCAAGTCACAAACTGTATGATCTGATCTACTGGTTAAAGTCGTAATTATAATTTATAATCAGTTTTATATTTTGACAGTTGCAATTTTAGTTGTGCATCGATGCTCATTGCTCAATTCACTATTGTTACGGCCATTTACGTCAATGTACGACCAAAAACTTGTTCTTTCTAAATATTTATAAATACTTATTAGTTATTACTTAATACTATATCTAAAATATTAAATTTCTTACCATATATTTAAAGTTGTTTGACCCTCAAAAATTTTCTTTATTTTCCACGATTTATTTTCTGCAGTGTTCCATTACATTTATTACCATTTTTATCCCACAACGTCTACTTTTGCCAAAAGATTTTTTTTTGCAATTAAAAAATTAGTAATTAATTCTTCGTTTTGTATAGTATCTATTGTAAAATTCTTTTGCAAACATTTTGAGACGTGATGTGAAAATAAAAAGCCGTGTATGAACCTAAGTATTGTCACTCAATGATTAAAAAGTAAGTACACGATCAAAAATTATAAAATCCAGGGAAAAAAACTGCTAATCTTTTTATCATTAAGTCGCGATAATTAGATGTCCATGTACCTTTAAGTCACATAGAACAGCGCATACGATAAAATAGTATTTTATTTACGTGTATATTAAATTATTTAATATAGGTACCTACTTCACTTGATTTTATTAATATCAGTAGTTTACCATCGCTTTCTTTAAGACTTTTAACGACTAAGTTTATGATGATATTATAATAACGAAACACAGTATTACTAGTGATTAATATATTATTGTTGTAGCAAATAAATTAGTCGAGTCGGAGCTATTAAAAGTTTAAATTTAATTTATGAATGTTTTAATTAAGAAAAAGTTTTTAAGACAGTTTCAATGAATAATCATAGAAAGTTAGTTCTCTCGAGATAACCTGTCATAGTACCTACCTACTCAGCAGTGCGCGTGCCTCGAACTAGATACATATTTCTAAAATTAGTAAAATTAATACAAGTCTTAGTAATTTTATTTTTTATTGTTAATAAGAAGTAAATACTCTGTAACTAACATTTTTTTGTTTTTTTTTTTTTCATAATTATTGTTATGAGCAAGAGTAGTAATTGGCTGTTTAAAAGAAACCATCTAACCCCGTCACATGTTTGGTTGGTATTGGTATCGGTCTTAATATAATTTTATTTTTATAAATAGGTCTAAATCGTTTTCATAGACAAACTTCATTTTTTCTCAAATATGAATTAGATTCAATCTTTTGAAAATATAACCATAAACAATTTTAGAATACAATTATGGTAATGAAACGATTTTTATGTATAATAAATTAAAATTGTTAAGTACACTCATAGGTATAAATGTACTTTTTTTTTAATATTGTTTAATTTAATTATTTCAATACACGGAGTATTTTTACAAATTAATATTAACAATAACTCACAACTTTTGGATGATCATCTTAGATTTCTAGGAAGATGTCCTGTGGTAGTCGTGGTTTTAATCATGGTTAAGAGGTTTTAAACCATGACTATCAATTTTGTAGTGAAGTGCTCCTTCAGTTTTGTCCAGTGTGATATTTGGTAGTATTACTCATGTTAATAGATAGGGTAACCTCAAATCATTATGCAGTTGTTTATTTCTCATAAACCAAGAAGCCTTTAGTGCTATTCTTAAGAATTTCATTTGGAGTTTAAAATTTTTTAATTTTAGTCAGGGAGGCAGTTTCTCAGGTATAGGTTAGGACAGGTCTCATTATTGCTGTGTATAGTAGTAAAGAACATTTCATTTGTAAGGTAATTCAAACTTAATTATTCTTGAACTATTCAAACCATACCAGAATTCAGAAACAAATTCAGTTGTGATTTAGTAATTTATTCAAATGTATATCACACACATATTTATCTTGTACATTCTTCATACCCTTTACTAGTACCAGTGGCGGCTCGTGAGGTTCACGTTAAGTGGTGCACAAAAAATTTATGAGATATCTATGTTAGATGGTAAAAAAATTTATTTTGGTATAGGTACATACCACGAATAATACCAAAATAACGTACTTACTTATCTTATCTAAATTAAATTTTTTTAAGCATTTTACCCCATTAAAATGTGAACTAATGTGAGAAGTTTATTTTTCATGCATTTTGATTTTCAAATTTAAATGAGCCAAATCGTTTATACCTTTTTGTACCCAATTATTATCACCAGATTTTCGAGAAAAACTGTTATTTAATAAATATTCAATAGTAACCATGTTTGATTGTTTGATTGGTAGTTACAAACACAAAATTAAAACTACAGGTACCCACGAAAAATAATTAATAAAAGTATAAAATTAATAATATTAATATTCGTACAAAAAAACTATTAAACGCAAACCGTACACGACACGCTGTTTGACGAAACTAATGGCAAATAATAGCTAATCATAACAATATGATTTTAATCTGTTTTTATATTATGAACGTTGATGTTATCATAGACGTATTATAATAATAATATTAAGTCAATGGATATTATAGTAGTTATTAGTTGATTTGACAGCTGCACACTGGCAGCAGTTGATGGATACTGTACTATGATACATTGATGCGTTATCGTTTCGACGAATGACACGATATCGCGACAATAAAATAGGATCGGTGCACACATTAAATGTGCTCCAAATTGCCATGTATTACTAACCGGCGTGTTGAGGCATGTAGCTAATTTTTATACGGCCGCCCGGAGCACAAACAACTTGTGCTCCGCGATATTATTTAATCGTTTATAAATATATTTCTTAACATAAAAGCTGCAAAAACTTGTTTTCATTAATATTTTTTTTAATTACAGTCCATTTGTATAATCATCAATTATATTATGTTATTATGGCATATAATAATTTTTTATATAATTTTTTTGGGTGGTTCACGTGCTCCTGTGCACCATACCACGAGCCGCCACTGACTAGTACTTTTACATTATCATTTAGAGATACAATACATACATAAATAATAATAAAAAAAAATTAAATATATAAAAGTATCAAAGTTATTTTAAATTTTGTATTTTATATTTCAAAGATCTCAGTAAAAATAGATTGAAATAAGTTATTATTAGCAAGTAACAATCTGAGTAAACATTAGATTGATGATACATATACATTTTTCTTTGTATAAACCACAAAAAGCATAAATAATGATTTTATTTTACACACACACACTCATATATATATATATATATCTTTGTAATTAAATTAATTATTTCTTTAACAAAATTTGGAATTACATATCCATTTGATGAGAGTTATATGGAAGGGGACTAACTTTCTATTGGATGTTTACTCAAACTGTTTAAATTTAAATTGATTTTTATCTATCATTTCTTTAGGTTAAAGCGTATAATGTTTAGATAATTATTTTTTTTCATACTACAGAAATATCATTGCATAATAATAACACCATTATATTCTTTGTAGTATACGCTTTATTAATAATGCAGTTTACATTTTAAGAATGGTGAACAATTCATGTAGACGTACACTCACAGCAGCAGCAGCAGCAACAACAGCAACAGCATTCACCAGCAAGAGCAATTCGATAGAATTGAATACATCTGGAAAAAAATAATTGTTAAATAGATCAAATGCATTTCCACATTTTTTTAAATGTGAATTAATTCAAAAATACTTTATTTATAAACATATATATATATAACTCTATACAAAACTATTTTGTTTGAGTTTCAAAAGTAACTAAATATAATATATAAAATCAAACAATACCATTAAAGTTAATGACACTAAGGCTAAACTACTATAATAATTTTCCATTTTAAAACAGCAATATTCAGTGACCAATTGAATAGTCCCAACTCTTTTTTGAGTTTTAATAGATTATAAATTGAACAAAACATATTAAGTTTAAAAATATTATAATTAAACCTAAAATTTTTTTAGATTTCATTGCATTACTTTAATTTTCAAGTAAAAGTATTTAAAATTATCATTATAAAGATTAATATCAGTATCTATTTAAACTTAAAATTACTAAGTATAATATTGTTTATTATTAATTATTCTGAAATAAAAACTAATACTATGGGAATAATGCAAAAATTTGAATAGATAGATACATATATGTCATAATCTTTTAGGAAAAATGTACTTTTATAAATTATGTCTAATAGTTATTTAAATTTAACAAAGTAAATATCAAAAAGTAATAGTTCTTTTTTTTAAATAAAGGTGATCTATTTAGTTTGAAATTTAAACTATTTTAAATAAGTTATCATGGGAAAAATATAATCAATAAATATAATTAGCAACAAAATATGTATAAAGTACTTATTAAATATTTATATATACATAAAAATAAAAAAATAATAATTAATTTAATTTAATCCTATTATTTTAATAAAAAATTACTAATTAATTTAGCTTTAACGCAGTTAATGGAAAAAATAATCAAACTTATGATTTGTACATTTTCAGTAAAAAAAAACACAGTATTGATGAACTATAATATAACTAAATTAGGTATAAAATTGTACGTGGCTTCTGAACCACCGATAACATTTAATATAGCTAAAACGTGGCGAGTAATTTGTATGAATAGAAGAACACAACCACGTTAAACAAGATCGACCAACACAGACATTAAATATAACAGATTATAATAGATTACTTACATGATAATCCTACCGAAGCCTTCTGGCTTCTCTCTCGGACTCGAGCAGTGTGAGAATGTCACCCTCGCGCACGGGTCCTTTGACGTTCCTGATGATCTGACGATTTTGTTCGCCGATGAATTCTACTTTAACTTGAGTACATTGGCCCTGGGAACCAGTACGGCCCAAAACCTTCAACACGCGAGATAACACTACGGGCTTGTCCATGTTTTTTGTCCTAGAAGTGTTTTATACATTATTATTTCTTTTAAATAGCTATACATATTTTATTTAAAATTTAGTCGATTGACAGTCTGATTGAGACCAACGTACTGTCTTGTGCTAAGTTGCAGACACAAAAACTGATGCAGAGCTAAGCACTCAGAAACGTGGGTAAAAGCCAAAGGGTAAAAGTGAAGAAGAGCGTGGCCGTAATCGTAATCACAAAATGTTAGGCTATGCCGCTTTGTAGTTTGTATAAATACAGATTGTCCAACCCAACTAACTCTTTGGTCTTTTTTCCATGACAAAAATTATTATTGAGCATTTGAGCAATAAAGCTTGTCAAACGTTTATTAAATTATAATTAATAACAATAAATAAATTGAAACAAAACATATTACGTGAATTAACAATTTGTCAAGCTAAATTATTATTAATTAGATAAAATTTGTTTGGAAATAAAATTCCATTGGAACAAAGGTACACATTGATATTTGTATAATTGGAATAGTAAAGTTGATGTCAGAATAATTATTGTTCATTAATTGTGACATAAAAGGTAGTAAGAATAAAGTACCAGCTGTTTGTTTAAAAGTAAATCTAAACCGTAATTTTTAGTAACATCATTCCCATTATTTTGTCATTTATGTTAAATGAGAAAAACTATTACATCGATTGATAGACATGTTATAAGAAACGTTTGCACATCTGCATTTTGAATTAAAATTAACTTAGCATAATGATTGTGTAGGTATTCATTTTAGTTTCTTAAGTTAAACCAAATACCAATAGAAGTTAAAAAATTAACAGGCGCTTAACATCTATGATCAAATTACTAATATAAGTTTTCTATTCCAGTATATTCATGGAAGAATTTATATAAAGATTGCATTATACCAATTAAAACAATATTTTTCAAATAGTCAAACTCACATTAAGTCTTGATAAAAGAATAGTATTATACCATTATAACTTAGACATTAATATTTAAGTACTTACTAAAATTGAAATATTAGTAAATAAAAAATAAACATATATGTATTCTTTATTCAATAAATTATGACAATAAAAATTAAAAATAAACTACAAAATTACAAGACATTACATTTTTTACAGAACTCATTAAGCACAAGTATAAATAATAAAATTATGTAGTTTAATTAATTACACATCATGGTCTACTTTCAATCCAGAACAATAAACTGATAATATACTATTTGGCTCTTTATTAAAAAAATTGTTTAGATCTGAAACATTTCAATTCAATAAAATTAAAATCAATCATTTATTTAACAGTTATCATGAAATTTTAAATTTTAAATTTATAAGTACAATATAATTTACCTATCAAAACACTTATAATCTCTTGGGTTTTTTTAGGAAATAACTTATCTAGACTTTCAATTAATTCATCACAATTTTTTTCTGTCATGTATTTTTTAACAATACTAACAAAATTACTGTACATACTATTTTCTTTTAGTACAATTCGAACCTATATATAACAAAACATAAAATAAAAATAGCAAAATTATATAATCTATTAAATCTATTAAATTAACATTAGGTTTAAAAAGTTTTTAGCTAAAAATAAACACTTACTTTTGTCATAAAATTAATGGTTTTATTTTTTGAATCAATTACTGGTTTAGGATACTCAATTTTATTGGGAATTATTTTTAATTTACGCTTTTTAACTAAAGGTTTTAAATCAGATGTTACATCAACTTTTAAAGGCTGACTTTCTGAAATGGTGTTAATTATTGATTGCTCTTCAAAGATATCAACAAACTCTAAAATGCTACTAGAACTACTAGAACTGATCGATGTATTTTTTTTTTCATTTTTATCACAATAACTTTCATAAAGTTTTATAGTGTCATCTTCCAATGCTTTTCGTTTTACTGATTCTATTGATCTCAATACAGTAGCTTGAGCAGGCTCATCAAATGTAGCATTTGAAAATAAAACTGCAGAAGGCATCTAAAACAATAATTACAAAATTTTAACTATCCTTACATAGTTAACTATTATAATGTTAAAATATATAAATAATTACTGTTGCACCAGTGTTTTTAAAAAATTTCATGTTTTCTCTATAAGCTATTGAAAACTGATCATAAATTTTTATATGAGGTTGTAACCAAGCAGAGAGCTGCGATTTAACATTAAAACTAGCATAACGTTCATCACAAAATATAATAGAACCCCAATCACCAATATGTCTAATTACACGTCCCATTGCTTGATTTACAGCCTTTATAGCTTCTAATTTGTACCATTCTTGACCAGATAAACACTATAACAACAATAAAAATAAATATAAAAAATATTAAATAACACTAATTTTTAATTTTTACCTGTAAATTTTCTTTCCTCATTTCATCCAAATATTCTCTCTTCATTACTACCCGTGGATCTTGGTAAGGAGGATATGGTAGTCCTAATATAATTACAGCTCTAGCTTTCCAATCAGAAAAATCAAGACCTTCGGACACTTTTCCTCTATAAACTGCTAATAACATAGCACCCTTGTTTTCTTGAATAGCTTTATAATAATCTTCTATTACAATATTTAACACATCCTTATTTTTCGGTTCAACAAATAAAGACTAAAATAAAATTATAAAAGTTTAATTTAATACATTTTTTTAAATATATATTTATATTACTTTATTCTTAGTGATTGATGCCCATATATTACAACTCTGCCAATGATTAACACACTGATCTAAAAATGGATATGAAGGAAAAAAAACCAAAGTACCTCCAGGTATAATGCGTGAAAAATTGACTAGAGTTTGACCCAAACTTATAAGAAAATCAGTATTATTCCTAAAGAAAAATTTAAAGCAATAATATAATAAATCAAAATTAATTTACTTTAATTTTTTTTTTAGACAAATTAAACATATTGACTTAATACATACTAATAAACAATAACTTTAAATAATTTAGGTATATTTTATTTACCGGCTACTGTAGTTGCATATAAGTGGTTTATTGCTTGGCCCAGATTTTATGACTGATACACATACCTTAAATTAATAAATATATAAACAATGTACCAATACAATAATATTATGATTAATTAATAGTAACTAACTTGACTATTTTTAATGACATGAGCATTTTGTAATTGTACTTTTACTGGAATTCCAATTTCAGAAATGGTTGCAGCTAAAGGAGACAATGTACCACTTGTAAGTATTATACAATGAACATTACGATCCAATAAGTCCCTCATCCTAAGGAAATCCAACTTTTAATTATTCAGAAATTATGCATATTATTACTAAAAAAGTATACTTTTAACTAAGAGTTATATTCAGCTTATCATGAAAACATAATTAATTAATTTAATTAATTATATTATAACTCACGATTATATATATACAGCAAGTACAATTAATAAACTAATTACATAACTATTATTCTGAAAAAACTTTCCAAGTATTTGACATTATAAACATAAAGAGAATTACAGCACAATATTTTCATGTTTTCTTGTAAATCTAACATTAGATTTATAAAAATAATAGGAAAAAAATAAAATTATTACATTTTTCAAAATAAATATGAATTATTAATTATTTGTATTTTTTGCAAAGACCATAGTATAATGTTTTGGTAATAATTTGTGATGTAATATAATGCTATGATGGTCTTTCGAAACAACTTGAAAAAAAAAAAAGGAAGAAAATAAAAACTGTGTAATATCCTGATACAATTACTACTATTCATTTCACACAATATTTTAAAGACCCGATACTTAGCAATACTGAATAAACAAAAGAAAATGCATACCCAAATCCAGGACTAAAGCACCAAAAATTCAAAGTTTTGCCTTTTTTGAGTTCTTTTAATTTAACTGTATCATTCTTTGGCTTATATTTATTCTGCTCTAACTGTATGTATGTCTAAAAATATAATTTAAAACTTATTATAAAGAAATATTTGATATGTATTATAATTTATACATATCATACATGATTAAAAACTAATCAATTACAAAACAATGAATAATAAAAATAAATATAAACAATTTAGATAAAATCTACAATACTTCTTACTCTAAAATACTTGTCTGTATTTTTAGGGTCTCCGTTAGTTCCTAAACTTTGCAAAACACATTCTAAAAATTGCTGAAATTTATACAAGCATGCTTCTTTAGCTTGATGAGGAGCATTGCTATTAGATGATGACATATATAATGTAACAGAACTTAAAAAGCTAATAAATTTAGACATGTTTGAAGGTGTTATCTAAAAAAAATAAAAAGATTAGATTAGATTTTAGTTTTAAATCATAGTTAACTGTTACTTTTGTAAAAATATATATAGTGAATACTAACATCTGCGCCTTGAAGCAATTTAAATACATAAGATCCTTCCATCTTCTTATCATTTGTACTATTTGTAAGCTCAATACCATCAATAACTTTTTCTATTTCTAAAAATAATGCTTTTAACACACATATATCATCATCAGAAAATTCTCTGGGTTTTAACTGTGTTGATTCGGCAGAAAATTCTGTATTTTTTTCATCATACAATTGTTTCATAATCTAAATGGATTATAAAAGCTAAATTATATTATAAGGTAGTTTTTAATTATCAGCTATGATAATTTAACTTATTAGTCAATCAACAATTACAAAGTAAGAATGTATCTTACATCAGTCACAGCGTCAATGCAAAGAGCAACATCAGTGCTGCTTATATCTACGGAACAAGATTCTTCACACATCTTTTCAACATTATGTCCCTCGTCAAGAATGATAACATCATCCTATTATAATGACTATTATTAATTATGGTTAATTCTATAATATAATATTAATAATTTTTAATAAAAGGAATAGAAGTAATGAATACCTACACTAAATTGAATGTCTTGAGCTTTTCTTGTTCTTGGATCAATAATGTAATTATATGGAGTGAATAGTATATCAACATCTTTTTGTAATTCTCTAGACCCATAATATGGACAACAGTTAAATTTTTTCCCTTTATTTACCAAATCTTCTATATCAGCAATTCCATTTTCTACAAATGCTTCTTGAGATTTAAGCTCAACATTATTATAAAATTGGCATGTGCGAGTGCTAACTTTAGCACGGCATAATGCAATTTTAACAGAAGAAGTTGCTTCTTTCATAACTTCTGGATGAATACATAACTGGTCTCTTGAACCAATTATACCAACTTTCATGTGTTTATAACTAGTCCGACGCAGTTCTTTCATCACTTGATTTAACTGAGTATGAGTCCGTGAGCCATAAATAATACGAGGTGGTCGAATCACTCCACCTAACAATGATTAATGAACAATAATGATTATTTTAACTTAAAAAACTAAATTAGTTTCTCTTCTACATATTAAGTGTTGAGTGTACCTAGTGATTGATTGAGTAGAAAACTATGATAGATACATTAAATTCAAATACAATAGTAATTGAAAAACCATTGCATTAAAAAAAAACGATTCAGAATAGATGAAGTGGAGTCTATTTCTAAAAATATTTTCAATTTTAATATATATATAAAATTATAAATTATAATATATATATTTCAATTATAATTAATTTAAATTACCAACTTGGGTACTATTACTTATAAGTAGAGCATAGATTTATGTGCATTTAAAAAAATAAAAATATGCCATACAATATAATACAGTAAAAATTATTAAAATATGCAATAAAAAAAAATTTTTCTTTGGTGAAACTTTGTATTTGTTAATAAATGCTTGTACTTCAAAAATAATCATTCAACATCTATCTACTTAGGTTATTAGTGCATATTTAAAAGAGTTTAAAACCACTGGGTGTTGATATATTTTATCTAGTTAAATCTCTTCTCCTAATAATACTTTATTAATTTTATGTAATACTTTTAGGGTTTTGTTTTTGGATAAAATATAAATTAATTTTGTTTTTAATGTTACTCCTTTAGGTTTAGGACTAATGTTTATTTTTTCTTCTAACTCATTTATTGAAAAAAACTTTAAAATAAAAGCATATTTTAGTTCTTAGAGAATTTAAGATAGCTAAGACTTTATTGTTACTTCAGCATCTACTGACTAAAATTTTTTTATAACAATACATTTATTGAAATTTGCAATGAATATGCGTTTACGGTTAAATATGCAAAATAAAAATTTAGCAGTAATTTCAATAAGTAATATTCGTCAAGATCATTTCAAACATTTTAAAAAAGTGAAGAAAAAACATACAAATACATGTTCTCCTTTAAAGTAACATGGTAAGTTTAACTTATTTTTGCCAAAATAATCACATAATATACACCCATATATTATATTAATTACTACTAATTTTAATTTCTTCTTTTTTTCTAGTTTATTCATATTATTTAAGGTGTTGGGAGATTTTTTGTATTAAAAAAACTAATTTAATCTAATTTGCTTTAAAAATCATCTACAAATGAGGATTGCAGCATATTACTCCTACAGGACCAATAATATTTATTGCACCACTCAGAACCTACAATATCAAAACTGAAACAAAAATATTTGAAAGCTTACTCCAAGCACTACTTGGATTCTTGTCAACACCGGCAGCTGTATTCACCGACATAGATATATTACTCTCTGTAGGACACATTCTATTGGCTTGAATCGCCGCTTTTTTAGCTAACAGCCAGGCCAATGATGAACACAATAATGACAGCGTTTTCCCAGTCCCAGTGGGTGACTCCAGAACACCATTATGTCCCTGAAAATACAAAACTCAGTGTACACATATTGACTACATAAACTAAACTATCTAATTATGATGCACGGCTTACGTTTTGCAAACAATCCAAAACCTTTTCGATGTATTGTTTTTGAACGTCGTACGGTTCATAGGGAAAGTCTACCAGCACACCTTTGCATTCAAATGACGTCATTTTCTACTCGTACCGAATAAAATATATACTTAGTAAAAACTTAAATACATTATATGTATATGAAAAATAGACAGTGGTGGGACAAACCTTAAACGGTTATGGATGAAAAATTCAATTTACTTAGTGCAAAATTCTGGCACTCGATAATAGACAGTCATCAAATACCCCGAAATGAGTAAACGTGAAGTAGTAAAGTAAATGATTTAAACGTTATCAACTATGATTGAATTATTCAAAAACCATTATTGCTCTTTTTGTGCTATAAAAGCGCGGGATTTTTATCGATAATACTGATTTCTTTGTTATCTATTAATATATTTATATTATTATCATGATACGATTGATATGGGATAAAACTGTAAAAATAAAATAGTTAAAAATGTTAAAATTTTCGGGCATTCGGCAGTAATCCGTATAAACGAGTCTCAAAAAAAAAAAAAAAAAAAAATGTCGAGAATAAAAATACAAATTACTTGGAACTTATCTCGGAGAAACCATTATTAAAATGGCGTAAAAACAAAAATTTAAATATTTTATCGATAATAAAAAATTAACTTAATTTATGGATAGTAAAAAAGTTAACAAAATACAGTTTACACTTTGTATTTTAGTTAAAAAAAAATCGGGATCAAAAAAATAATAGATAAAAATTTTAAAAATCTCATATTGATACAAACATTTATCTCTACGACTTATAAAAATTTATTTTTAGATGGTTACCTACCTTAACTATTTATAGATACGATTATTACACTAAACTTATACAGATCGTGTTTTTAGACAAATTTAATCAATCGTCTTTGATGTAAAACATGCATGTACATTTAACCAATTGATTAAATTTTTTTTTTTTACTCCTTTGTATTGCCGACTTACTGCCCACATCGTTAAAAGCTAAATTTTTGCAACTGCTGCCCAGCGGTGTAGTAACATTTCACGTTTAATTTTTATTAGGCATAGAACTTATAATATTAATCATTTCCAATTTTACGTTTTTACAAATTATTTGCAGAAGCCAGAGAGATTATTTATGTTAATATTTTTGGTTTTACTTTTACGGATTGTTTGTTAAGATTTTCGGATAAAGGATAAATATTTTCCGGGACTGTGTATCTGATTTCCAAAATAAACGCCGCGGGTTGTTAGTTAATCCGTGTAGTGATCAATGGACAATAACATAATGAATATCGATTTATTGACCATATCAGATTAATAGTCTTCGTAAGTGTTTAGATTTTAACCAATTCAGTTTTTAGTCGACTAGGTAAACATCAAATTTACTACCTATTTTATAAGTTACAGATCTGGGTGCTATCTTTTATAACCATGTAGGCCATATTTTTTTTTCAACTTTTAATCGAGGGTTACATTAAAACACAATAATCAGATACATTAATACATTATACGTATATAGATAAATAAAGTTACTTTTATTTATCTGTGATTACGTATTTGATTGTATTTTACCAATTCCATAGATATTTACAATGAAAAAATGATATAAACATAGATCTTATACCAGAGTATAAGGTCTATGGATATAAATTATAAACACGAAATGTGATAACATCATATGAATTTGTCATCAACAGAATCAAAAATATAATTGCACAGGTACTTCAAATTCCGAAGTACAAGACTATGATCTTAAATACTTTAAGAAATATCTGCTGGGCTGTACTTGTACACTATGGGTATAGTGAAAAATAAGTAAAACCAAGGGTTGCTAACATTCAATATATTATATACATCATTTAAATAGTTAATTGTCAAATTTAAAACTTAAAATAGCCTAATGCAATTATCATGGGTTAATGTTCATAAAAATATAATTTAATAGTTCATATTTTTGAATTTGTTGATATGTTTAGGGAATATGGATATGTGACATTGGTTCAACATACTATCAATCTAGGAAACCATATTTTTATTTCAAATACTAGTAGTTAACTATAATGACATATTTTTTTTTTTTTTTTTTAAGTTATATAACTCTTAAAACTATTAAAAATATAATATTAATTGATATTACTCAATCATTTTAACAAATACAAGTTGTACTATTATTTTATTAATATTCATTCACAAAAATTATAATACGGCCAGTCCTTTGGGTGCTAAAAACTAAACGTCTGATTGTACAAATATTTTGTTTAAAATTACATAACATTTAACGCACTATGTTTCGTATTAAAATATTTATGTATAATTTTGTTTTCATTTTCAACTCATGCTCTAAAAATTAACATCATCCTCTAAAGTACTGGATGGACTAGTGTGTTACATGAAAATGTTATTTACATCATTAGTGTTCCAATTATGTATTAGACATTAGTATATCATAGCATATTATATATATATATATAAAAAAAAACTTATATAAATACAAAAATGACTTGGGATTTATATAGGGCATTTATATTAATTTTTATCTACAAGAGACAATTATAAAAAGAAAAAAAAAATGTTAAGTAAAATATATTATGACACAAACAATTTAAAATATTATCCCAGTGCTATTATGTACACAATTATTATTATTATTATTATTATTATTATTATTAATATTAATTTATTGCCAAAAAACAAATGATGTGTGAGAACCAAAGTAAAATAAAATATAAATAAAACAATGCTCAAGAAAATACTAGTGCTTGGATTTGGGACTTAATGTTGGGGAGTTATTTGGGTTGTTTGATTCTGCAGCTGAAGGTTTAGAACATTGAACTTGTAATTCTTTCCAAGTACGGCCTTCTCCTAGAAAACAAACTATTACAACTGTCATATTGTCACACCCAAGACCTCCCATTTGACCATTGGGTGCTAGACATCTAGTCATTAAATCTTCACATATATCCTCAGGCTCCATGCCATTGCTGACGCGAAAACGCACAAACTCTACAACTTCCTAAAAAAAAAAAAATGTACAAAGTATTATAAAAACATCAAAAGTGATAAAGTATATTAAACTAAATAATGTATACTGCTATAAATATTATAATCCATAAAATGTTTAATAATATAATTTTAAATACAAAGTATATTTTTAATGTTCATAAATGAAATGAACAAATATCTGAACTGAGAATTGAATCAGTAAGATACAAAAAAAGTAGTTAACGTTCTGTTGTACAATAGGTGTCAAGTAGGTCACTATTATGGGTGTGTCAAATTAAAATTTAATTATATATTAATATACACAAAAAACGATTTTGATATGATACGGTATCTCAGTCTACATCACTAAGCGTATTTCATAATATATTTTTTTGATATAGATATTAAAATCATTTATTTTACTTTTAGTATTGTGGTAGGTTGGTATAATTTTTTATTGAATAATGAAGTATTTAATTATTATGATAATATACATTTATATATTATAACAATTTATATAACTCAAAATTTAGTTTTATCTTACTGTAAATAAAACATCAAAAATAGACTTAAAGTGTAAATATTAAATAGTTAACATCTCAAAATAAATCAAAATATCATTGCATATAGTATAAATTCATAATTAAAATAAGGTATGTAAAAGTTATATATTCTTCCGTTCCATTTACACAAATAATGTTTTTAAATTAGAACAAAAAAATTTTACATCATTCATCTTCAAATAGTTAATATCATCTAAATTAAAATTAAAATTCTATAAAGTATATTTTTTTAGATTTTATGATTTTAAGAGACTTACTACTTATGATAATTCTAGCATTACATTTTTAAAACATAGACATAGAGTTCTTATGAATTTCTTTCTAACTTCAAATGAATATAAAAAGTACTTGTGCATTTATATTTTTAATATTTTTATATAGGTGTAAGGAAATTCTAGTGAGATCTTGCATTAAATTTTTAAGAATTTTTACTCAGCAATTATTTTTTATTGAAAAAAAAAATTTACTTTGTACTTGTATAAAAAAAAAAACACATTGTGAAGTCAATACATTAATCATTCCATTCAGAATTTAAAATATATTATTTAATAATATTATATATATTAAACATACCACATTATTACAGGTTATTTAAAATAAGTCTTACTTCATTAGTCATTACATCCCAAATGCCATCACACGCTAAGACAATGAATTCTAAGTCCTTTGTAATTGATTTTACTTCGATATCAGGCCAGGCTAAAAATTTAAAAACATTCAATTTATGATGTATATAAAATATTTTATTTCATTACATTAATTGAAGTTTTAATATTCATATTTTTTGATAAAATATTAAATCAATTGTTTAAAAAAAAAATATAGTCTGACAAGAAATTATATTTATTTTATTTTGAAATAATTATACTGATATCCCACAATTTTAGAATTAAGTCATATAATCTTGAGTACTCTATAATAAAGTTCAGAATTAAAATTAATAAAACTAAATTTACACACATAGGAAAAATAAGCTTAATGTATAGTGTGTTAATCAAAAATCCATCATTACGATGCAATTTTTCAATTGAGAATACACCGCATTAGCATCATTATCAGTGGTAACCCTATCACAAAATTATTAATTTTTTTCTGATTAGTCAGCGGTGGCTGAAACTGCTGAGAGTGAGAGGATATGCATGAGTTTCAACTGGTTTTCGTTCATTACCGGGGGGTGCATTCTCATTATCAAGTCATGAAAAATAGTATAGAATACTGACAATAATAGGAACTCATCAATGATATCTATTAATAAATAAGTTATGTACAAGAATTTGGAAAAATATTTTAACCTTTTGATTTAATAATATTAATACTGGCAATTAAAAAACTGCTGATGAATATTTTTACTCTGCACACTTTATCAAGGTTTAACAGAATTATATATAATAAAAAAACATAGTAAATAACTCACCAATAACAATTTGTTCATCTAATTTCTTTTGGTCATTTTTTTTGAATATATAATCACCTAAAGCTCTGGATAAAGCTAAGTTGCCATTAACCCTGTTAAACATGACCCAACCACCAGCTGCTTCAATCCTTTTCGTTTCTAACTCATTATTTGGTTTGTGATCATATGATAATGGTTCAACTACACCACTTACTGATGCAATAGCTCTTGAATCTCCAACATTTGCCTAGATGTAAAGAATAATGTAAATAAGAAAACATCATGAACTAAAATCTACACACATCACTTTCACTTTCAAACCTAAGGACTGTCCTGAAGTTGCCTTAACAATTCAGTAATCCCCCACACTCAAGGGAAGCTAAATACCTAAACCTGCTACTTGACAGGAGACTCATCTGGGGTCCTCATCTCAAAAGTAAAAAGGAAACAACACAACTCTCGCTTACGCATTATCAGATTCCTCTTCAAATTTAATATGGACTTGTCATACCATTTACTTATATACAAATGTCTTCTCCAACCAATATGGTCATACGGAATTGCCCTTGAAAGTACTAATGTTAGAAAAATTCAAGCGTACCAATCCATTAGCCTACTCATGGTCACCAAAGTCCCTTGATTTGTTACAAACGCCACTTTACATGAAGACCTCAAAATTTCATCCATCAATCAGACAGCAGCCATTTACTATCAAAGACTCCACTCCAAAATGTAAGGCCACCCAAACCACTTCATAACTCAACTATAGTCAAAATCTCTTCTAGGCAACCTTGCTCAGTATCTAAATCAAAAATGGTCCAGAGACCTTCTCAATAATCAAACATCAACTTAAGACTCATGTAAAGGTAACTCTATTGTGAGCCTCCCTTTTCACCGCCCCATCATTGTCATCTCTCCCTCAAATTTACTCATTGTACATATAGTATAGATTAAAAATATTCAATAAACGTTACATTAAAAAAAAAAAAAAAAAAAAAAAGAAAACATCAAATAAATAAATAAATTCAATATTTTTCCTTACACAATACATTTTTTTATCTTTAACTAAAACAACTACAGCAGTTGATCCAGCAAGCTCATCTTTTAACATTTCATCTTCAGCCATAGCAGTGTCCATGTCCATAAAACCCTAAAAAGATAATTCAAGATACTATAAATGCTATTTTAGAACATTTAATAGCACAGCATTACCAATTGTAAGGCATCACTAATTTTATTTTCTTCATATTCTGGCCTCTTAGTTATAAATTTATGTAAATGCTTGCCAGCATATTGTGCTATTCTTGCTCCTAAATAAAATATTGCGATAAGAATAGAATAATTAAAATTTCAAAGGACATAATTTGTGTTATAACATAGTTTAGTAATTTTATAGATAAAATTATATCCTTAAAAACATTTTTTTGTTAGAACAAACTTATTTTAGAAAGACAATAAATAAAATTTTAAGCTGTTGGATTATTAAAAATTTTAATAAAAATAAAAAATAGCATTATAAAAATTTCATTAAATTGCAATTAATATTACTTTTTTTTAAGCAATATATTAAATTCCAATAGCTACAAATTCAAAAGTACAACATGTAAAGAAATAATTTTAATATTTAATTAAAAATGAGTAAATATATTTATGGTAATTAAAATTTGTTTTACTCAAATCAAGTAAACATAAATAGCATAATAATTAATTGTAAAACTAATAAAAATAAAGTAAATAATAGGTAGTACAGATTTAGGTACAAAAAATATATAATAAGAAAGAACTATTTACAGGTCTGCAGGAAAAAGACCTACAACAATACTATGTAAAAATAAGAATCAATCATTAGAAAAAAGTTACTTGGACATATTCACTTTTCTTAAGAAATTTCCATAGAACTACCTATGAGGTTTAGTAGGCTATTAAACAAATAACGTAAATGAATAGTGGAATAATTAGTTTGCAAAACTATGTAGACATAGCTATCTAATTCATTTCTATTTAATTAAAACAATGAAAATATCTATTGATAAAATTAAATTTATTTTAGATCTTGTAGATTTAGTAAAAAAAAGCAAATACAAACTTGTATTTTAAAAAATATAGGTACATAATATATTAAAGATATAACAGGGAAAATTAGTATTAACTAAATTTTCTAACATTTATTAGATATAGGCAATGTTTTTCTTTTTAATTTTATAAACTATTAACTGTGTTCTGTAGGTATTTTTTTTTTTACAATTATCATTTAAGATATGAATGTTTCCAATTTTTATAAGCTATATTCTATTATTATTTTTATAATGGATTATTAAGTACTATGATCAAATACTATACCTATATATTAACTATTGACTTTTTTTTCCTAGATTCATTATAATGTGCATCAATGTTTTTTTTTAAATAAAAACTGGTGCAAATGTTTTTTTATGACATATGACTGTTAAATTTGTAGTTTCTATTCTCTTAAAATAATTATTACCACCATGACCATCATAAACTCCAAAAAATGCAGCACTTGGATCATCCGGAAGTGCCAATATATGAGTGTGGGAATCTTCCATGTTGATTCTCCATCCTTGCATAGAGCTGGAACCAACTTTTAAATATTGATTCTGACAACTTTCCGTATGTTTTGTAGTCACCGGTTCTGATAATGTCTGACCCATAGTAGTGCTCTGATTAACTGTAAAACAATTAAGTGCATAAACTTGCATAGTAGTATCACTTTGGAATTAGATAAATGACAACTGACATTGTCACTCAGCAACATATATAAATATATATATATATGGTGGTGACTGATGACAATCGTTGAGCAGTAGAACAACGGTTTGGCGATTCATTTATTTTTGACTTTCCCACTACTTCACCCAAGGCATCAGAAATTGAACTAAATGTTTTCGTGAACATTACTACAACCAGTCTAAAAATGACCTACTTACATTTTTTTAAATTTACGATTCAACAAAAACGACAAACTGTGTGTCTAGTCTTCCATCTCATGGCGCATATCATCGGGATTGAATATAATTTGTTTAATGATGGTTGTTCGATTTAGTTTCCTATCGGACTCTGATAAAACCTGCGATGGACCGTGGACAGAAACGGCGACGATGATGATATGATGGGATGACGGATGACGCGAAGACGATATTACTGAAATGTACTAATGACGGTGATGTGCGAGTGCGACGATATCGGATATTGTTTCAGCGAAATTACAGTGTAATTTTTCGCTTTTTATTTTTATTTTTATTTTATTTTATTTACTCGTTCAGTCATTCAGATAATACAATACAAGAAAATGTATGAATAGAAGTTGGGAACGCGGTTACGCGGTATACGGTAATGCTTCAAATAGCGTACTTTTTTGAGAAAAACAAAATATGACTTCATTCATTAAGTTTACTAGCTTGTTCATCCCCTCGATTCATGCAGAATAAATTCTTCGGAATTCGAATCAATCGATCGACACGGAATCGAACGCAAGATATCAATACAATAATATAATAATATCACTTTCACACTCATAAACGATGTAGAATGTTTAATGAGGAATATGATAATTATAGTTTATAGCCTTCGGGAGGAACACCGCGCCAACCCATTTTGATAACAATAATCGTTGTCAATTATTATTATAGTGTCCAACTCCTCTATCAGATTTCCTATCGAGTTTCGACCGTCACCGCCTAGTTGAGGTTAGGAAACGGTTTCGTTTTGTGATCAAAATACAACACACAACATATCGTACCACCACCGACGTCGTACACGGTCCACTGTCCGACTATCCGTCGTCCGTGTACTTGCCACAACGACCACTCAAAGTATTTAATAAAACCGTGTTAACTGTTACAGCCCTACACACGATGGCAGGTCCTCCGACGTTTATCGAGCTGACGCGCGAAGAACAGGTAAGCGAAACGACAACCGATAATTTTAGATCTGCTTCTACAGTATTGAAAAAAAAAAATTGAAAACGAATAAAACTACTTCCACATACACACTGGCCAATCTTTCTACAGTTAGGTTTGGAACTCTCAGATTCAAATATTGCTTACCCGCAATTGGAGTCAAATTTCTTTAAAATTTTTAGTTTGGGTTTAATAAATACATGACTGACCGAATAGAAACTACCTACAACAGTCAAAATTTATTTAAAAGTATAATTATTGCTTTAATAAATCAGCACAATACCATATTCACTGTAATATTTTATGTATATTACTTTCAATGTTTGATTTTTTTATGGATAGACATTTTCTTATAGTTCTTATCACCATTTTTATAAAGTACCAGCACTTCTCCATTCGTTGTGAGATATTCCCAAAAAAAGCATGATTTATTTAAACAAATTTTGGAAAATTTAAAATGTTTTTTTAATGTTATCAATGGTTAGCCTTAGCAACAATCAATTCTTAATTTTAATATATCATCTTTATGCAGTTGTTTTTAAGCTAGATCCAAGAATTAATATCTATCCATAAATTTAAGGAACTGCAAGTATCAAATATTGCAGTGACTTATATTTTTATAAGTTGCCTGATAAATATATACATACATGTAGGTTAGTATAGTATAATAATCTAAATTAACAACTACCTTATTAAACTAAAAAAAGAAATTCAATTGTTGATCAGAAATTAACTTTAAGTAATAATATTTGTTAGTTTTATACTTTTAAAAGCCAAACTATTTTTATAAGAGGTCCATCTTTAAGAGAGGCTCTCACTCTAACCCCTTGGTCCAAAGCATATCAGTTAATAAAATTCTTGGTAATCCTCTAATGACCTATGAATGTAAAATTGTGACTTGCTGAACTATTTTATAACATCTGTTGTCATATTTTGTACATTGTACAATGAATATTTTCACTCGGCTCATATTTGTATCGTATCCTTAAATACAAATTGTGTTAAGTGTACATATACAAAAAAATTGTTTATCTTTATGTAGTTTATGAGATTTTATATTTCTATTTGTTTCTGATTAAGACTATATTATATAAGCATACTGATATTAATTTTGATTTTGCATTAATTAATATCAGTTAAAATAAAAATATTGATAATCATTAAATAATATACTATTTTGTTCACAGGCTTTAGAATTAAGGTCATATCTGCGCAGCATTGGCGCTACTTTACAAGAGAAGGCAACAGATAACATTGAAGAAGATATGAAAGAAATCATATCTAAATGTGATGCTTGTTTAAAAACAGACTTATCAGATGCTGATATTGAAAGCTTTTTATGTTCTATTGTCTCAGTAATTATTGGAATTGGTGCTGTAGATGTAGAAAGCAATCTTGTTACTGCATTTAGTCAGAAACTTTCTAAGCATGAAGAAGAACGTTTTAGCAACACCATACTTAAGACGTAAGTGAAATTACGTAATCAATTTAAATAGATCTTCTTTAATTTATTTTATATATTTTGTTTCAGTTTATGGCTATTGCACGGTACAGTTGATCCAAAATTACCAGCTCGTTTTCAGTTGTATTCTGACATAATTGATGTAGCTAAACGAAACAAGCAGCTTTTATTGGTGTACACTGGGATAGATAGTTTAAACAAATCGCTCCTTTCGATCAGTCATTCCAAAAAACAAAAGCAGTCTCTCCTAAGACAGTTGCACAGTGCACTTATTGAAAATGGACACAGGTTAAATTTCCCTATTAGATATTTGTTTAAATATTTTTCATTAATTTTAAAATCAAATTAATATTTACTTCTTTTTTTTAGTGAATTGGCTGCAGAAGTTATGATTGAACTTCTCCGCAATTACACAGCTGATGATGGTAAACAGGCTAAAGATGATGCGAAGAGATGTATTATTTCTGCTATTGCGGACCCTAAGACGTTCTTGTTTGAACCATTATTGAGTTTGACGCCTGTTATATCTCTACAAAATTCACCTTTGCATGAACTCTTGGTTATATTTGTCTCCGGAAATCTTACCAACTATTTAGATTTCTACAAAGGTCACAAAGATTTAATCAAATCTTTAGGTACTACATTATTATATTTAATATTATCTTACTTTAGAAACTGTGAAATTTCTAAATGTATGTTATTAGGAAGGGTTTCAATTCTTTAATCCTCCCCAGATATGCTCTTGCATTTTAGTATATAAATTAAAAACTTAAAATTAGATGATCATCAGTTATCACTATTAATTTTAATTATTCCATGTTATTACTATATAGCAGCGTATTTCTAAATAAGATAAAAAAAATTTTGCTAGCTTTATTTAGTAAATTATTTTCAAATAATATATCATGATCTATGATTTCTTAAATGTAAATCATATACCAACTACATTCCATACTTAATTTTCTCAATTCATATCATATCTTTCTAAATAAATATGTATTTTATTGTTCTGGGAAATATATGACTATAAGTAGGTACAAATCATCAGTTTTTAAATATTAAATTTATTCATGCTTCAAAAATGTTTTATATTTACTATTTAATTTTGAAACTCTTAATAATTATTTTTAAATTTTATATCGTATAGAAAATATTGTAGACTAATTATCTATGTTGATAAATTATTACAGTGGCAGATTGTCCAAATACTATGTTAATTAGCGGGGAACAATAATTTTTTTATTAATAGTAAAATAATAATATACCATGTAATAATCCATTGATAAGATTTTATTTTTCTGTACAAATTATATTATTTTACCAATTATGCTTTATACACATATTTACTACAAAAGTGTAATATATATTTGTTATTTAATAATGTTTTTTCAATATTTAAAAGGTTTGTCCATCACAAACATATATCTTTAGGGTTTTAGGTTTAAATACATAATATGGTGTATCATTTGTTTTTCAGCATTAGATCATCAAGCAAATATACACAAGATGAAACTACTGACAGTCATGAGTTTGGCTGAGGACTCAAGCATCATAACATTTGAAACGATACAACAACAAGTGCAAATAAGCGCTGAACAAGTGGAACCATTTTTACTCGAACGTAATATAATCTAAATTCAATTTCATTATAAACTTATATTTTAGGTGTTTTTTACTTTATTTTGTAGTTTTTGGTACAAAATTTGTACGTGGCCGTATGGACCAAGCAGCAAAAAAAGTGAACATTTCAAGCACAATGTACAGGACATTCAGCAAACAACGCTGGCAAATGTTGAGAAACTCGTTCTTCAGTTGGCGATCATGTCTTAGTGTTATCGAAGAAGGAATGAAAACTGTCGTGTCAAATTCTCAAACATCAATTTAAAAATATATATGTGTAAGCTAATGTCAATTAAATCGACATATTTATTAAAACATTTTTGGAATAAAGAAAGTTTACTTAGTAAAAACCATTAAAAATATTTGTGTTTCAGTCACAATATAATACACATAGCAATATAATTATAGTGATAAAAATGTCCATTATGAGTTATACACCAATGATATGAAGTGATATAATTTTATCACAAAAATAAAATTTTAAACTTAGATAATTAAATATTTGAAAAGATTATCTAATAATAATAATAATAATAATAATAAAAAAAAGTATTTATAAAATAATGGGCCAAACATTTAGGGGGGATCAAATGATACTAAATTTATCTGAAAATTTAAAGAAAAATTTGTACTCAAATTAAATTCATGATAATATTGAGATCACATAAACTTCAGTGATGTGAATGTATTGAAGTTAGCATACTAGTTATGAAAGCTAGTATGCATGTATGTTCTTTGGTAACTCTGCTTTTTTTTTATATATGTGCGCATTAACAAATGATCTTTAGGCCCAATTACATAACAAAAAGCAATAACAAATATAAATTAAAAACAAAATTAACTTGTCCTAGTAAGTAGGAATAAGTTTTTATCTGATTAAAACTATCATGGTAATAGTTCAACATAGTTTTCTGGTACCAAACCGGTCTTGCCATTCAGCGTGCCCTCCAACCAGCCAGGTTCACACGAAGATCGCACTGTGAACAAAAAGAGATTCTTAATCATATATAATATAATAAAAAACACAATTTACTGAAATCATTCAATAGATAACAATGTTTAAACAAAAACAATTAGAAATACCGTTTGTAATTATTTGGTTTGGCTCAAATGACAGTTCGCCATCATTTTCTCCGAGACATGCATACAAAGTACGAACTCTTCTACAAACATAAAACGAGCACAATTTTGCAGTGTAAAAATTAGAAATACAAATAAGTAGATACTTTGGTGGTATAAAAATTGTTGCACATTAGTAAGCTTTGTACAAGGATTTAAAAAAAAAAAGCATAAATAAGTGGAAAAAGCTATTGTTAACATTTGTCAAACTTTTAGATATATTGAAACCATTTTATGTTTATATTTTCAAAGCATACTTATGCAATTAAGTGTGTAATTCCAATTAAAATATAATGTTAGTAGGTTAATTTGTAAATTAACAAATGATTTTGTTATAATATTAAAAACACAATGATAGCATGTCTGAAGTTTGTCAATGATGAAGTGGAGGGAGTAAATGATAATATCCATTTTCGTATTATTTAATATTGATTTGACTGAGGGAAAT